GAGGGTGGGAAGGGATAGACTGGGATTTCAAAATTGTAGAAGAACACTGGAATTTGACACAACATTGTAAAATGATTATAAAGCAATAAAAAATGTTAAAAAAAAAAGAAAAGAAAAAAAATAGGGGGCCAGTCTGTCCCAGAACAAGAAGGAAAGGCCAAAGAAATCGACATTCCATTGTGCTCCCTTGGACCAAGAATAGAAAAGGAGAAAGAATTCAGTTAGAATCAAGTTTGGAAGACCCAGATAAAGAAGTTCCTCCAGTATACAAATCGAACTGGATATATCTAGCAATGAGTTCATCTAGGTGACAGAAAAAGAGTGCAGTCTAAGTGTGTGGGTGTTTCCCAGCCATCCACAGGGAATTCTTTGTATTCATGTAAAGCCCTGCCTGGTTTGGCAGCTGCTGTGGACCTGAAGGCAACAACATGAAGCTTCCAAAGGCCAGGAATACAGTAGCAGTGCATGAATCGGGGCAAGTGAGGGCCATTGGGATGATGAGATCAAGATCTCTAGCCATCTTCAGCTCAACCACTCTGACCCACCTGCTCCCATTGCTACTGGCCTCTGCTCTGAGAAAGAGTGGTAAGAGGGAGCCAGGCCTTCTGGGTGCCATAGAGATGTGAGATAGAAGGGCTCAGAGCAGCATCTTGGAGTATTTCAGGGTCACTCAATAACATACAATGTCATCCTACTTCATCACTCTCCCCCATCCTTGCCCCCACCACCTACACATGCTCACAAACTGTACTTCTTTCCTCCATTCTTTGTGCCCTCACCTTTTTCTTTCTATAAGTCTGGCTTCAAGTGTTCTGATCTTCACCAAGACCCCCATCCCCAGTTCTAACATTCTGTGATCCTCTGATAGCACATGTGCTAGTATCTCTCATGGTCTGTCCCGGCTGATGGAGTTTCATCTTCATGCAATCTTGCTTTAAGGGAAAGAGGATGTGGCTTGTGATGCCCAGAATCTACACAGACTTGGTTATCCATGGCATTTCCATTCAACCCAATTTAGTAGTCATCTGCTCTCTGTTGGGGCAGACAGAGCTGAACGAAGCCCCTTCCCTGCCCCTCAGAGTTCTTCATCTAGTGATGGTGTTGACAGTGACAGAAATAACCATATTGTGAGATGGAATAAAGTATGTGTCATCTTCAAGCCAAGGAGGGATTATGAAGCTATATCAGGGGAATGATAACAGATAAGAATGGGTGGTCAGTCTGCACTGAGCCACACAATGAGTTTGACTTTTGACTTTTGCTTTGTAGGCTCGATTTGATCTTTGGCTCATAGAGGTAAAATGTTTTATTCATGAAGGTCTCAGCAATAATGCTGCGTTCACACCAGTGAAATTCCACACCGAGGGTACAGAGCCTTGTGTCAGTCTGTTCAGCTAAATCAATGGCTGCCAAGATTTATACATCAAGGCCATTTCCAAGTAACGGTCGATACAGAATGCTAACGAGTGCCTCTCGAACACACAACCAAAAAAGTTGCTCATCTTTTCGGAGAAACTTCCCTGACCTCTCTTCCAACTGAATTCTGTGATTCCCCAGCCATGACGGGGTAGTGGTTCTCCTCCTCCCTCTTTCTCCACCTACATACCCAGTGACTGTATCATAAAGGATGCTATTCTAGGATCAACTAGTTCCAGCTCAGGGATATGAGAAGTGACAGCAAGGGTCAACCATGGTTCCAGGGAGCTCCATGAGCCTGCTGTGGGCCACCCTCTCACTCCTGAGCAAGAAAGCCCTACCCTTCCCCTCACCCATGCTGGTAAGAGATTGCCCCTTCCCAACCCTTACTGCCACTGGGCCTGCAACTCTATTCGGGGCACTTTCACATCTGTTTTGTCATTTTGTCCTCCCAGCCTGCCCAGGCTGAAAGCAGGACCACTAGCCCCAGCAGTACCACGACCTTACAAAGGTCCTAGTACTTTCGGTTTCCCTCAGTGTATCCAAGTCTGTGGCTTTCTCTGATCTCAGTCTGTTTTGCCACTGCTCAGATTAGGAAGCAAAACCGAGAGAAGAGATTACAAGCCGCTGAGGAACAGGAAACAGAGGGGGTCAATCCCAACATCCTGTGCTCTCCTGGAGGGAGAGTGTTGAGATGTAAATGTTGGGGAGATCACTGGGTGCCAAGGCCAAGAGCATGAGCCCAGAACTAGAGTTTGTTCCTTGTGAGTAAATGCTGAGACTGGAAAGCCAAGGTGAACTGTAGTATCTGGTCGTTCTGTCAAGACAATAAACCAAGAAGAGGTAACTCCTTTGGTCTTGCCAATACGGTGGCCAAATCACGTCGGGGAAATGGAAGCAGACATTGGATTGTAGGTTGAAGAAACAGATTATCCGAAGTGCAGGGCTCAGGATGGAGTCTGCAGGATAGAGTGAGCTGGTTGAAGCCGTTCATCCATGATGGCCACACACACTCTACCCCTCAGCCGGGAGCCCCGCGCTTCTTAAAGTGGAAATAGGCGTTCCTCACCGGCCACAGCCTGCTCTTTGTCTGTCGAGGGTGGAGGGCAGTGACTTCAGGGGATGTTGACTTCCTGAGAGAAGGTGACAGCCTCAGCCGTATTTGGTGGGTTCAAGAAAACTTTCAGTATTTCTTAGGAAGCATGT